ATCCCGTCTGATTGGTCAATATTCCCTTTCGAATTGGTTCCTATAGTGACTCCTGAGGCCCTCCTCCCTCTTTGTCCTCCTATTCCTTCTGGGCTTTCTTCCTTCTTTATTATTTTGTAAAATAGACCTTTTATTGGCTATTTCCAGTTCCCTTTTCTTATTATGAAAATACCTGTTGCTGCTTCCTTGTCTTATGTAAATGCAGCTGGAAATGTAACTGCAACTGGCTTCCTTGTGTTATGGAAATGTATGTCTGTACCCTATGTTTTTTCCATGGACCCCAATTCTAAAAATTCCTTAAACCTGCCTATGTTCCCCCAAAATTCCTGTTTCACAGTCTTCAAAATCTACGGTTAATAAACCATCCTGGGTAATAATGAGTGATGTAGAAAATAAAAGTATTTAATATGAAAGATGAAATAAGTTTCTAGATGATAACTCACATTTATAAGTACATGTTTGATTTTACTTTTCTAGTTCTGAATGGACTTTACTATAAGCTCATTCACAAAGTGGCAATTATGATTTAAGTATAAAACCAATGGAATTTGCTGTGATAAAATTTTTTGCCTTCATATTTGCTGATGAATAGCAGGCTAATCTATAAAGAAGCACATTTTATTTTTACTTTTGTTAATAGAAGATGCAAAAGATAATGATGTAAATCTGAAATAATTAAACATTTCTCAAACTTCTGAAGAAGAACTCATTATAACTCTATGGTTGAGAAATATATTCTGGTTTACTTTTCTGAGGCTCAAAGGCAAAGGCTATGAGCTATGAGCGGGAGCTCTTTGCTCATTTGAAGTAAATTGCTTTGACAGTGCATAAGGGAGAGGAGAGCACAGAGATAATTAGGTTCAAAATAAGTGTTTGCAGAATGAGAACAGAAATATTTTTGTGCAGATTTAAAATATGTGTAAATGAATAATTAGGTTAAAGGTTATGTCTTAGAAAAGATACAAATAAGGATCATCATTTAGTTAGAGCATAAGAAGGAAAGAATATTTGAATATTCACTTGGTAAACACAACTACCTTCTCTGATCATAGC